TTCTGTTGAATGCTACGACAAATGAATAAAAACAAAATGCAAATATTAAAATTAAAACAGATTAAAGTTATAGGAACAATATCAGGCCATTACCTTGTTCGAGGAATGTATCCATCAATATCCACAAAACTGTTCCAAATGATGTGTCTTTTAACAGTTTAATATACGAAAAAGTGATAAATCTTTTCAGGTATTGGTGTATAGTCTCATTGGTCACCCAAGATAGCACACCTGGCAACTAATTGCATAATATCCGCCTTTCTTTAAAAACAGTAATTTAGTTAGCCAATAATGGGCAATCAATCAATGTATTGCCGGTTAATCCTTTGAAAGAAGGACGTTGTATTTACGCAGACACCGACACGAAAGAGTGTATACAGTATAGATTAGTAAATCTACATACATAAACACTACCTTTTGACAATTCCGCTGTGTAAGATAAAAGTAATTATTCAATCAGCGTGTTATCGGTTAATCCTTTGATCGATGTTTATAATGTTGAATATTTACTCCAGACACAAGAAATGCCAAATGGGAACCTTTGTCGGGTAATCTAAGTGTGTTACCACTAATTATACCTGTTATAAATTCATTAACTGACCATCAAGTGAATGATGACAAATAACATGTGTAGGTTTATACCACCTTTCAGGGGTTACAACAAGGGAGTTTTATTTGCTGTATTGCATGTGAAAACTTATGGGCCGACACTGTTTTGAGAATACAAACAGAGTTTTACATGACATGATTAAATATCGAGGTAAAAAAACACAGAAATGGGATCAATTTGGATCAGTCATTATACAAATAGGGCCTAACGACACCAAGCGATTTTGACAGAATCGTCTATGAAAACAAGTTGTAACTCGGAAACTAGGCAAAGCAGGAGACAAAATTAAATGACAGTAGATTGTGAGAACATATAGCTTTCATTTTCCATAACAATTGTCACGATTTCAGGTTTTTACAAGCCTGTAAACAAGATAATTTACCCCCTAAAATGTAGATGAATTCTGCATCGGCCCTCAAAGCTATTCCTCATATGACGTCACAGAGACGCGCCGCTCTGATTGGTTGAAATTTCGTTCGCGGGTGAGAATTGTGCACTGTTGTCAAAAAGGTCGATTTAAGTCAATTAAAGGTCGAAATGAGTAGTTTTAATGACGGGGTTTCATTTATAACGATGCCAGTTAGTGATTTATGTATTTGTACCCCCTAGGGTATATGTGATCTTTAACCACTAGACTACCCCAGCGCCCCGCCACACCCAGTAACGTCCCTTCATTAACGTCAGATCAAACGGTATTCCTGGTCAGGTATGCAGTGGTTATTTGTTTGCGTATCACAACACCTCGCCCCCGACCCCTGTAACTGTACAATAACACAATGAATCTGATTCATCCATTATGAATTATTACCTGCTCTGCACAAAAACTAAAAATAACCCCCAGCTCCAAACTATTAAATGTAAAGCATGGTTCACTTCATTGTGGCTAAACAACGTGAAATGTCGCGGGCTTTCGCCGAGTCGTCTAAAAGTATATTGTCTAGATAAGATATGACATTGAAACGTGACTGTACCCTGAAGGTAGAAATGTAGATCAGATTGACACGGCATTTCATTGTGGTTCATTGTTAGGTGTTCGTGTTCCAAGTAATCTGATAAATGGGCTTTGTAATCAAATATATGGGTAGGGATTCCAGCTTTCACACTGTGATCAAATTGACGACCTTCCTGGTTAGAAGCGACCAATCACCTGTGTCGATTTGTAATGTTCTTGTGCCCTACTTTCAAGTGTCAACTACCAAAGAATGTTAGGGTCGAGACAGAGGGAAAAAATGCCCCCTTCTGTGTTGCGATAACAAATCTTAGTAGGTTTACGTTCGCTCATACCTTGCGCTAACACGCAGACAATGCCACTTCAATCGGCTTCTCACAATATGGCCGGACCATTTCGGGAATCGAACCTGCACACTGGGCACACACGTTTTTCTGTGAGCTTTCCTATCAACTGAATGGAAATACCTCCTTACTGCAGTAACAGCTTTCATAGTCATGCTTGTCATAATCACACAAAACCCCGAAGATTCCGATTTCTTGATCCTGATACATCTCCTAATGTACCCTGGTTTTGTCATGAGAAGAGATTTGACGTGTGATCCTGATTCTTTATTCGGTCACATTATGTAAACATATATGTTACCGTTTCTTGTCAGCACTCGCAAATACCCGGGAACTTTTGTCTCTTGACTCAATGATGCTTTAAACCGCTTTGGTTGGCTTTGGATGAGTCATCGGTATATTCCAGGTATTCTTCTCCATGTCCTCTTTTTGTGCAGAGTGATTTGAATGTTAATGTAACGAGAAGCTCAATTTCTCTCCTCGAGAAAGTGTGTTTCAAACTCAAAAAAAGAAGAGTTATCAATAGATTCTTTTCTTCAAGAAGCATTTTTTTGGTTCGAAAGAGCATTCTACTTCAAGTGTTGTGTTTACTACGCCGTCAGGTGTCCGATTCTTCATTTCACCATCCACCATTCTTGTGTCAGCCTCTCCAGTGCAGGACCTCGCAGTATGTCAATACTCACTTTGCAGTTAAGAGTAACCTGAACCTGAATGCCATGTCACAGGCTTAACAGGTGTGTTGGTGGATGTTCAGTCCGTCCATTTTGAGATCCTACCCAACTATATATGATATAACTTATATACCTTAGACCTTTATGAAATCCGTACTAAGGCCTAGAATCAAATATCTTTTGAGCATACAAACATATACATGTACATACATGATACATATACATACACACACGCACGCACGCACGCACGCACGCACATACATACATACACACACTCCTTTCTCTGACGGTTTTATGATCTTTACAACGAAGCAAAGAAATTGCAGTGTGACTTTGTTTTGTTTTCATCTGGAAACGGTGTCAACCTCCTAATGTACCCTGGTTTTGTCTTGACAAGAGATTTGACGTGTGATTTGTTGGAATCAGACATGGGTTCAATTACTTTGAAATGTAATTAATTAAATTACAATTACTTTGATTTTCTCAATTACAATTACAAATACAATTACACCTTAAATTAAAATGTAATTAATTAAATTACAATTACATTACCAATGTAAATAATTACATTACAAATTACTTTGTTAAAAAAACAAAACAAATATATTTCTGTATTCCTTTAATCAACAAGATATCGATGTTGGTAAACAGTGGTCACTTAATCCAAATTCAATTCATATTTTTGTCATCAAAAAGTGAAATGCAAAAATAGATTATATCTACAATGTACACTATTTGATCAACTTTGTATTTTGCATATTTCTTTGAGCTTATTATCAAATACACACCTCTATCATCTCTTGTTGCAAAAAACACTTTGTCCACCACTATTACCTTAGGTGTACTGTATCATGACATCATTACAGGCCTACATTACAATATATAATCAGCCGGTCTCTCTATCTGACATAATCCACATTAACATACTAAAGGATTTGTCAACTTGAATTATGGCTTATTACCTTTCACGATTATAAAAATAGGACTACAGTTCAGTAGGATTTTGAATATCATATCCTATGAGAAATAAACAAAAGGCCATTTTGATAGGAACTTGACTAATAGTACTGTTAATCCCCCATTTCCTCAAATACCAACCTACATTCAGTCATGCGTTACTGATTCCCTTTGTTTCACAAATGTGCAGATGGTGATAGTTACAAAGGCTTAGACATTCAAATCTCTTTCAAAACTTAACACCTGCTAGAGTATATACCGACAACAAGCATCTTATTGAAAAACACTGCTACGTCCTCCTTATTGTACAGAATATAATTGCAAGGGTTGCCTGATGACCACCAAAATACAAAAGTGAGATGTAATTTGATGTAATTGAAAAAGTAATTGAAATATTCAATTACATTGAGATATTAATTAATTAAATTACAATTACAAATTACATTTTAAACATTCAATTATAAATTACATGCAATTACATTCAATTACAATTACAAATTACAATTACCCCATGTCTGGTTGGAATACCAACCAATCAGTAAATCCGAATTTCCGGTATCAACATAATGTTCGCTCTTACACTGACTATACATTTTTCACCCAGGATGGGCGGACTGCCTTTCACCATGCCGTGATGTCTGGTGTACGAGGAATTCTACAGATCTTACTGACTCGAACCCTCAACTTTAACCATGAAGATAAGGTATCAAACATTCTACCTGTTGTCAGTATCTCTTTCTTGAAGAATATATACAAACACTTTAGGAAATGGTAGAGCTTTTGAAATATTTCAATACATTTCTGAATACCATTTCTCGTTTCACTTAAGATACGCTGTTCTGACAAAGTAAGATTTGATATACAATGTACAAAACGGCATATTTCGGGATGATATTGAATGAACAAATAGCTTTTAGGTTATAAATGTATTCTTCCAATTTCTATCCTGCTACCTTAAATTTTATTTTTCAGAATGGTCAAACACCACTCCATTATGCCGTGGAGAGAAAATGGACACAGATAGTTGAATGGCTGGTTTTTATTGGAGCTGACGTCAACAAACGAGACCAGGTTAGTAAATAAAGACAAGGGATATAAAAGATATAATAGTTCATGTACCAATTCTTTTGACACATACAGTTGGTAGTTTGGGCATATAGATGCACAAACCACGTATGAATATGAACTAAGCTGAGCATATGACAAAAAGACAGAAACTGATTCATTCAATACAACTTGATCCCGCTGTCCACTTTATACACTATTTCCACTTTTTGACTTTGAATAGATACTTATACAAAAACCCACCATTACGTATTTGAGCCCACTCAGAGCAGATGATTTTACTTTTTGTCATGGTATCCTTATCCTATGTAAGCAATCGCCAAATGACCTTGACACAAGCTCATATCTTTACGGAAAGATAGAAATCATAATACATTTACTCACTCATTCGCTTTTTTTTTGAGATGGGAAACTCTGCTAAGACTCTGGCCGGTGATAACAAAACGTTTAGAGACGCCATTGAACAACCGGTGGATTTAGAAAGGTAGCAAGAAGACTTAGTAGTTACATAGCATTAAAACTTAGAAGTAGCAGCAGCAGCAGCAGCCGTAGTGGTAGTGGTAGTAGTAGTAGTAGTAGTAGTAGTAGTAGTAGTAGTAGTAGTAGTAGTAGTGGTAGTAGTAGTAGTTGTAGTAGCAGCTGTAGTAGTAGATGTAGATGTAGACTTTTACTCAAAGCTACTACAATGAAAATACATGTATCTGCTTAAAGTTAAAACGAATTCTTCTTTCTATATGGTGTAATTATGATATGATAAAGCACATGATAAGTATATGTAGCCATAACTGGTGCTGCTCAGTGCATTCTGTGTATTTAAGAGTAATGATTGCGTTAATCTTCAGGCAGGCAGAACGAATCCTAGCTGACCATTGCGAGGAGAAGCATATCAGGACCATGAGTATCAAATTTGGGTCACAAACTGACTTGGGTTCATCCAAGACATTCATGATGCTCAAGCGATACGAACCAGCTACACACCCAAAATGTCCTGCTAAGAAGAAAGACGAATCTTTCTGGGGCGAGCTTGTTGAATGTCGTATATCGCAACCCAATATTCTCTTGACAATCACATTCCCTCTGCAAGACAAACCAAGCTCCTATTCTGAAGTGTTTGTAAAGTTTGCAACCATGAATAAAGAGGAAAAGGAATCAGTTGCCAAAATAATCTTCATGGCAGAGGAGGTAAGTGTCATGTTCAAATAGACAGCTGCACCATGTGATATAAAACTTCACTGTGTGGTCCCAGGAAATAACATCCATGAAGATCCGGGTTAGAATTGATCATCAGTAACCCATGCTTGTCTTAAGGGGCGACTAACGGGATCGGTTTGTCAGACTCGCTGACTTGGTTGACAAACTCATGTATCCGAATTGCGTAGATCGATGCTTATGTTGTTGATCACTGGATTGTCTGGTCCAGGCTAGATTATTTACAGACATATAGCTGGAATATTGCTGAGTGCGGCGTAAAACTAAACTCACTCCCTCACTCACCCAGAAAGTAACCACAATAATAACCCGAATAAACCTGATACGAAAGGATTAGCCTGATTAATAAAACCAACAGAACCATGGTAGGTGTGAATCCACCTTGGGCACAACACCCAATATCCTAGATACTTCAACTGAGCAACCTTTCATAAGTGTGTGCGCGCGTGCGAGCATGCATGCGTGCGTGCGTGTGTATGTTTTTTGTGTGAATAAAACAGTATTAAGGCGTCAGAGAGCATTGTGAGAGGAAAGTCTAATGTGAGGCAAATTGTTTATGTATAAATATAAATACAATAAAGGCTATTTATAAGGCACCTGTTTCCACGCACTTGTGCATGTTCAAGGGGCTAACACATTGTTAGTCCGGTTAACCAAGGCTGCGTGTGAGGCGCTAGCAGGTTAACGGTCATATGTCTTATCTCCCGGTTACCCATTCACTACTGGGTGAAGAGTAGTAATTTTTTAAACAAACTCACTTGCCTAGGGTGAGACTACATGTGTCACATGTGTTCCGTAATGGGATTGAAGACTGAAGTCCTGGAAACTCAAGAAACATTTGAGTCAACCTGCCAAACACGTTCACCCATCCATTGACTCCCCGTGACCAACGTTGCTCAAATTCAACTGAGTTGTGACCCGCGCTCTATGCACCAGACCACTCACCACAACGGGGGAACCGGTGAGCAAGTTTTGGTGATTAGAAAGAAAGACTCGTTAACATAACGATTCTGAGATGACCAGCAGAAGCACAACTCTGCAGATCAACTGTTGACCGTTTCACATTAGGTTGATGATACAGTTATCAATCATGACATCAGTCATACGACATAATGAATGAATATTTTCACAAATTTCAACTAGATCTTTGTTTTCAGCAACGTTGGACAGCAGAAGTCAAAATAAATTTAGGAACCCGTGGCTGGTTTATCATTTGCCAAAGACCAGGAGAGGAATTGCTTGACATTCCAGCCAATGGTGGGAAGATTACTTCTGTGCTTGACACTGATGTAGAAATGGATATTCCGAAGACTGCATTTGACAGACCAGGCAGAATGTCACTCAAGGTAAATACTTCCCTTGTAAATGTGTATCTTCAATTATGTGTTTCGTATACATTCGTCACATTTGCAAGGCTGAATGTTTTATCATTTTCACTAAAGTTATCTTCAAATACATCACATATCCTAACACGGCTTTTCGGCCTTTCTTACATTCTTATATTGACTCACTTCTTGTGATAACTGTTGCAGTTATAGAGCTGAGACTATCATAGTATTTTGTGGAAAGAGATCTTGGTACTTCTGATACTGAAACATAATAATACTTATCGAGTCTTCAAGAATGCTAATAATATATCCCTTCTTGACAGGCATGTATTTGGCTATTTCTTCAAGGTCGAGGAGAGTGTGCCTATTACTGAAGACCTAGATGCCATTCTATCATTTTCGAAGTTTTATGAAATTGAGCACACGTCTGGCATACAGCCGAAGAAAGATATCCTCCTTACCTTGCCCCTCCCGGAAAAATACACTGGGAAAGGTCAACTCTTTGTCTTGTCGAGGTCTGGACCCGAGAATGTCTCAAGTGACGAAGAGGATACAAAGTACTGGACTGTCCTTGACACTGACATCAAGATCAAGGGCAAAGTTGCAAGCTTTACAACCAAACACTTTTCAACGTAAGAATTGTTCATATTCTATGCTATCTTGAGAATGATAAACACTGTTGATTCGTCTTGGAAATGTTCTTTGTGGGTTGCGATATATGGTTTAGTCGGTGATATTGCGATAACTGACGCAAACTCATCAGCATTAAAGTACTTTTGTTTAAGCTTGTACTATTATGATATAATATCATAACATGTCATCGACACTTCATCGCTTGACGGGAGTCGCCATAACATTGGTTCGATGACTTGGGAGGTGTCCCCCCAAACAACATATAGGCCCATATCTTATTACTCAGAGGTTTCCCTCATACAGCTGTTACGACGGAAGTGGTTTTAGATGTAATGCCCCCATCACACCAAACTCGTTCTCAGTACGTTTTTGAAAAATATTTGGATCGGGCTCGAACTGTTTGCGAACGGACTGGACGTAGTGGTACCTGTTTACAGTCAGTATGGACGGGCTCGGTCGGACTAAGGACAGAAGGGTGCTCCAGACCGTTGAACATGTCTAGCGTTCTATCCGTTCTAAAATGGGACGGAGTGTCAATATACTTAAAACGAAATCGCCGTACTGCGAACGAAATCGTCGTATTTCAGTCTTACTAAGGACGTTTTTACAGTTTCCACCGCGTCCATCCCGTGCGCAGACAGACCTAACTCGACCGCATCGCGTCCTTAGTTGCTATTCCGTGCAAATATGTTACAAACAAAATGAATTGTTCTGAAGAAGTCCTGTAGCACGTTTCTACACGGTTCTAAATGTTAGCATTGGAATCTCATTACGTTCTACTCGTTGTTAGTGAGGTGAGGTGATATTGGGTTTAACGTCGTGCTTGAGAATATTTCACTCATATGACGACGTGCACGCGTGTGTATGTGTATGTGCGGCTGCTTGTACTACCCCAGACTTAAGCTGGTTTTAAAATGCTAGCCCACTGAGATACCAGTGAAGCAGTGAAGCATGAATACCCCACTCAGACACATTTTACTGACTCCGAGCCGACCAGTCCTTGTTGTACCCATTAATGCCGAGCGCCAAGCAGGGACCAACAAGTACCATAATTTAACGTCTTTAGGTATGACGCGGTCGGGGATCGAACCCACGACCTTCCGCTCTCCGGGCGGACGCTCTAACCACTACACCACGGAGGCGGTCCACTCGTTGTTAGTACGTTTATGTAGTTCCCACGCAGTTATTACAACGCCAATATCGTGTGCAGTACGATACAACAAGATATGGTATAAATACATGCGTTTTGAATACGTTCGTCATTTGGGATAGAGATTTCTATCTGTGAAACATGAACAAGTTCGCAGTTGTCAACATCACTTGTTGGGTGAGGAACTTGGTCAAACCTGACTGGCAAATTGCTGTGGGACATTATCATCAACTGAAGGAGGAGCTCCGCCTTGATGATCATTCATGAGTCCTTATACAATTTCTTGAGAATCAGCCCATCCATGTCTGATGAACTTCTTGAATGAAGCATCAGCATATTCCTATGCCACCTTGCAATATGAATTCCGGGTAGCCAGAAACGGAATCTGCTTGTTGGTGAAATATGTCTGTAATGCGTTGGTAATGGATCTAAGGAAAGAAGTCTTCAATTGCCCTGTTGACAGTTTCTCTTGGAAAGAAGTTGCTGAGGAGTTCCTGAAACGCTGGGATGTCTCACTTTGCATGTGGTGCCCTGGATGGGAAACATATTGCCATCAGAAGCCTCCCAAGACTGAATCAATTTACCACAATTACAAAAGTTTCTTTTCAATTGTACTATTGGCTTTGGTAAATGCCGATTACAAATTCATTTAGATAGACGTTGGTGGTTTTGGAAGCCACTCTGATGCCCTTCTGAGTTTGCTCTGTCTCAGACATAGTACCGTTGACTGTCTGACGGAGGCTTCTGAAGGTCCAGTGGACAGAGCACTCTCTTCAGACACAGACGGCTCAGCAAATATGTCTGCATCTGGGCTTGTGGATCTTGGAATGGATTTCTTTCTTGGTCCAGGGTTCTTTTTCCTTGGAGAACGTGCTGGGTACTTATAGAAATCGGACCAGGACGGGATTGCTATCACGATTGCACGCACTAAGAACGGAGTGAGAACGTAGCGCGAACGGTAGGAACTGCCTGAAAACGAGCTGGTCGAGTTAAGAACGAATTGGAACGTCGTTGTGCGTATTAAGAACGAAATAAGTCTTGTTCAGAACGGATACAAACTAAGGACGGGATTGAACTATTTGAAAACGTTGTCCACACGGGGTGAACGGGCAATTTTATCTAGTCTAAACGTAATAACAACTGTTTAACAACTGAGAACTGTTTATTATCGAACTAGCATGGTATTTATATAAAATTTACACGTTCTATCCGTTCGAGCCCATTTTACAACATTTTGTTTGAACGAGGCAGGACGTACTAAAAACTACTTTGTTGTCACTCAGGGTTTAAATGTCTTTGTTTCTTGAGATAAGGTAACCGTACGTTTCTTAGTCAAGGCGTGTAAGTCATGGATTTCCGACGTAGAATATGACTCTTGTCTTGGCAAAATAGGTGACTGATATCTGCATACATACTGATCTTTATTGGGCCTAAGCCGTCGTAATTCGCTGTATGGGGTAGCACTAAAACAATCTATGTGATTCAGAATCCCAGATTGTTCCTTGTATGTTTCTTGGTTTTGCCAGTATCAATGTTTCATCCTGTAATGCGGCATTAAACCTGCATCACCTACCAATGCACTTATGTCTAAAAGCATTAGTTTTATAGCTTACGTTGAAAGAGCAGCACAGCTTGTATCAACCCCTATGGATGGATTGTGATCCATCGAATTTAAGAATATATTTATTACTGTTTCATATGCTGTCATTTTCTATTCAACCCAATATTCATAAATTAATCATGAACAGAAAGGCGATGTTGGAGAGTCCAAGAAACACCAAAATGCAGAGGCTGAAAAAGCAAATATCAACATGTCACCGAAGAAGAAACATTCACATAGTAACATTTTTGGCATATGCAAAACAAGTGTCTCCAAAACTACACGATGTCATTGTGGAATGTTGTAAAGCTGAAAACCTGAAGACACGTACCTCGGCATGGGAGAACGACAACTATTCCTGTCTCCGTGTTAGCGGGATGTTCAAATCTCAACCGGAAAACGAGTACGGTGTTGCCGTCGATGGAAACGCCAAATCACGGGTCGATATCTCACCACTGAAGATCACTTACTTCCCAGGGATGAATTGTCACCAGTCCTTGGATCTTGAGGTGATTGACCGCAAAGACATCAGTCGGGCTACAGTTGCTATAAAAGATCTGCAGACGGACCACCATGACGTGCTCACGTTTCTACCGTTTATCCTTGATCAAAATGCATATTCGTCCCAGAGCTATTCTGTATCAAAATTTGCAGTTGATGAAGTGAACAGAGGACTGGATGAGGCTTATGATCCCGAACTGTACGAGTCCAAAGGAAGTACGTACATGCTATTTACCTGGGATATATAGGTTTTTAATGAAGTGTACATTTTTTTTATAAATACGAATATTAATAAAGCCAAGATCCCCAATGATTGCATGCTGAAGCATGTCGAGGAATGAGGATTGATCATACTAACATATGTGAGAGAAACACAATCAATAAAAAACTCGTCCAACGAAAGAAATGAATCCTAATCAAATTTTACATTACTATGCTTTCAGAATTCATAGTAGCAGAGCTCACAGCCAGTCTTTCAGTTCAAGTGTTTGGTTCCTGGTGGAAAATATGGCTATACCTTGGCCACTCTCTACCTTGGTTGATGGATATGCTTCACAATGATCTGTATGACTCGCAAGAGAGAATCAAACAGGTATGGTGAATGTAAATAAATCTTATGTCCACACTGTACCGTTGACTTTACACCGACTATTTCATATATTGGTGGGTTGATTTTTGGTTATTTATTGTTCGAACACTGCTTCAAAACACAGAATCGTATTTTCAGAAAGGTGGAACCGAACAGATATATAATGTTGAGAACATGTTGAAATATTCCTAGCACTATGGTTAGTATGTGCGAGTAGGTCTTCCGTTGAATCGGTAATATGAAAACCCAAAGATGAGGTTTTCAGCGCTGTTGAAATACATATTTACTATGCTATAAATATTGATGCATTAATAGCCATGAATATCTGGCATGTTGCCAGCATTGCGATATTTATCCTATACATGTATATGCATGCGTATCATTTTTCTGTTGAAGTCATAACGCTAATTCCACAAAACCTATTACAGGTATTGCGAAAGTGGTTCTCAGCAAACGCCGAAGCCGCAGACATTGGCGTCACAAAACTTACACAAGCATTGGTACGAGTTGACAACTTGTCTGCGGCACAGTCAGTCATTGATTTTCTGGAGATGTGGTGGGTATTTATACAATAATTATCTTCATCTCCGTGATACTGTCATAATAAAACGCATTGTTTTCTTTGTCACTGCTGTTTATTTGAAGGCAAGAACAATAGGAGTCTCAAACCCGTCTCTCCTTTGAGATCATATTCTTAACGGAGATGCAAATGCACACATTTTGACGATACTTTAAGTGATCCGACCATCCTTTATTAACAGTCGATGAATTTCGAAATATTACCAGCAATGGCCAATTTACTACTGAATTTAGTTCTATCCATGTATGACTGTAACTTCCACTGTTGAGCTTTTCATGGAGAAAAAAGCAATCGATTGGTAGCTGGTGGTGTTAATAGCATGCGGAATGGCAAATCACACTCCTTCTACCTACACACTCACATAGCAAAGACTGGAACTTATGATATAGATTGGCAAAAGTTTAGGCTTCTACGAAATAAAGTAGCAGCAGCTGTGAACTCCCATGTCGGTGAATTAGTAAAAACATTTCGTCTATTGGTAAATTGTCTTCGTAGTTTTAAATTAAGATTATCTAGAAAATCATAAGAGCAAATGTACAAGTCATACATATTACCAATGTTCGAATACTGTTCGCACCTTTGGTATAATTGTTCTAAAGATCAAGAAAAATTGTTGAAAATCTACGTTTAGATGTTCTGCGGACGATTTGTGGGGCAGTTAGAGGAACAAGTCATGAATTGAATTTATAAGGAAACTAACTCCATGCCCCTTGTTGAGCATAGACAACCTGGCAATTTATTAATATTTTACAAAATGATTCAGCACAGGACACCAGTTTATTTAACTGATTCACTACCTGAATGAGTATCACAGTTAAGTGACCATAGATTAAGAAACAGTGATAACATTCAAATTTTGTATAGTAATTTCGTTTTACCTGGTACAATAAGACAATGGAATGATTTGCCTCAGAATATGTCTGATATTGAAACTATAGGCCAGTTGAAAAATGTATTATAATCATCTAAGCCATTTAATTTTAATATATTTGATACAAACATGTTTGAACGACACATTTCAGTAGATCAATCCTGCTCTTGTGGTCACCCCTATGAGGATACTTTACACATTACTTCTTTACTGTCCTACTTATTCCAATATCAGATATCACATGTTTGATATGTACATGGATATAATTTAAATTCTGTTTTAAATGGAAATCCAAACAAAAGTAAACCTATAAATTCTTTGATACTAAGATCTGTCCATACCTTTATATTATATTGGCATATAGGTTTAATAAATGATTAATATATTGTAGAGGTATTCAAAAAGCAATTTCGGCTTGTTTACCAATCCATGTTCAATTTGTTTTGAATAAAATATTTCTACAGTACTCACACTCACATACACGCATGCACGCACAGATAAGATGTAAACCATTGGTTATCTTTTACTAGTTGGAAGTCATCTGACTGCAAACATGAATGGGAGAATAAGCCATTTTGGAATTGGTTGAAGAACCAGACCCTCAGCCTTGACAGCTTTACAGAAAACATCAGTAAGTTGTTATAATTGTATTGCATGACATCAAACATGTGGATATAAAAATATGGTATGCATTACATTAAGTAACATTCACAATATACAATGTTATCATATAAAGGATAAACATGGCATCAGGTGGGATCATATGCAGATATAGATGCAAATATGAAAGGTCACAAAGGGACTACCTTCAGTGTTCACAAACAAAAATTGCGTCACCTATTCATTGAATTAGAATTAAGCATTGGGAATATGGAGAAACGTCTGAGTTGCTATCATTATTACAACAGCTGTCTGAGATTCGAAATTTCACTGTCTTACATGGCCAATTATATAGCGCTGAACTCCACGCCGCCTGGGCATGCTCTGAGCGCACACTACTAAACACAAGAAAAATTGTCAGTAATAAAGGAACGCAGTCAAGGACGAGGCGTCTAAGGCGAAGAGGAAGAGAGTTCCATAGCACAGCAGCAGAGTGTTTCAAGGACCTGTCACAAAATGTCTTCAAAGTAGGAGAGGAGGTACAGGAAGGAGGAATTTGTCAGCTGAACGATAGTTTCTGGTAGCTTGACACACAAATTAACAGTTTGAAGATATGGATGGGAGATCCTGTGTACTGTTTGGTGGGCAAGAGTAAAGAGTTTTGAGTACAGGTTGGATTTGTTCTCAAGGCTTAGTCTTATTAACTAAGTAACTAACATCTGCATTTCTTCTATCTTTGCAATCAGTAAAGTCGATCTTTAGAAGAGGAGGTTGTTGCAGTAGGTCAGGCGGGAAAGCATAAGTGATCGCATGAATGTTGCAGTGGCATTTGAAATAAGAAGAGGCCGAACAGAGCTACTATTACTGAGGTAGAAGTGACAAGTTCTGCATTGTTAAGTGATGTCGTCGTCCAAGGTTATGGACGAATCAAGATAGACTCCAAGATCTTTGAGATTAGAATGGCTTCCTGACTAACTGTTAGACTGCTGACGCAACATTTGTGTAGTGTGAGAGAGGTACAAATTGCAGTTACCTCAGTTTTGTCTGCATTATGTTTGAGCATGCTGTCTGTCCTGCATGACTTGACACAAGCAATACATGATTCCATGCTGAGAGTTGCCTCTTCTTGACTTGCCGTGTCCAATCAAATCCTTTCATCAGGTGGGAATCATCTGAATAGAAGTGATGGTCACCACAGGACCCACTCTCTGGTTCAGGCCTATTCCACCCAATACCATGATGCTTGCACCTCCCCATGAGTCTCTTTTCATTACACATTGGTCTGAGTAACGCTGGCCACGTCGTCGCCATATTCATGTTCTGCCATCTGCAGTTGATACGCAGTACCGACTCTCATCTGTGAACAGAACAGTTATCCGTTGCTTGTATCGCCAGTTTTGGTGTTGTAGGGCAAACTGTAGACGTTCACGCCGATGACGAGGGGTGAGGATAGGTCCCCGGTAAGGTCTACGGCAATGGAGGTTCTCGCTGTTAAGACGTCGGCGTACTGTATCAGTACTGATTGGTCTTGGTGTGTTCCCACTGTCTGGCGAGCTGTTTCGGATGCCTGCATGAAGGGATTCTGTACATGCTGTCGCACAGCATGGCGGTCTTGTCGTCTTGTGGTCACCCTTGGCCTGCCAGTACGGGGGCGATCATTTGTGGTGTTGGTGGCCCGGAAACGTTGCTGCAGCCTGTAGATGGTCCCCAACGTTGACCTGGAAGTGATTGATCACGGCTTGTGCAGTGTGGTCAGCTTCAAGTCTTCCTATCGCCTGGTTCCTCTGAGCTGTCGTGAGTCGCGGCATCCTGCTGACGTTGTAATGTGAATGGACACCAGGACACCTGTTAGTCAAGCGGGAACTGTTCCATATATGTGTTTGTAGACTAACGCTTAGTCTCTGAATATATATAATTTTGATAAACCCATATAGATTCAAAAGGAGCCCAAAGGAGATCAACCCGAGGAAGTCTAGACTTGCTTCATTTAAGGCTTTAGTATTGCAGGTAGGGCTAGGCACTGGGGAATATAATGTGGTTCAGGGACTGTGAAGCAGACTAATGTGTTTTTTTTCCTCTGAGGATTTGGGTTCTTTCCCCAAATACAAACCAGATAGATTGGGCCGAATTGATAGTAACTGCCATTATGGGAGCTATTAGAGAGACACCTTACGAAACCTAATACATACATTCTCAAACTGTAACGTTTGCTCCAGGGGCTGAACTGAAGCCTTTTGTACATCAGGAAAGTTTGAAATCCTTTTGATTTTGCATGATTGGTCAGATTCTTAAAATTGCCCTCTATATACATTCTGTATGGAGGGATGTCCCTGTTTGTGTCTCTCCCCTCCCCCCATAATTTTATTAGTTAACATTAGAATGCCTTAAAAATGTAGAACACCTCTGTCATTTGCTGATATAATTGAACCTACATTAATACAATATTTGTAATGTTACAAAAAGCATAATATCAACTACATTCAATTCTACAGATCATTAGCTAGATATAACGACACGTGCTACACCAGAGAAGTGATAATCCCTGAAGATTTGGGTTAGAATATGTATGTGTAATGTATGTATGTCAAGTGGCCATGCTGGCTGACTTGGTTGATGCATGTCATCGTATCCCAATGTGCAGTGCAGTTTTGAAGTCAGTAGGGGAAGAAACCGTTGATATATATATCGTCGGATGATACTTAAGTGGTTTATCCATAGTTAAACATCGAGAATTGTGTCTTACGCTGTAAACTTTATGCTTTCAGTTTTTGTTTTGTCAGTATTCTAAAATGCAGATGAGACCAACTGTTTCCTGTATTTATAGGTCCATCGGAGCCGATGTCAACTCTGTTTCTCCTTGATATCCTGAGGTACATCGAAGTGGAGCCCGAGAATTTGGGAATCTTTCTGGGTTTGACAAAACAAGAAACTGATACGGCAACATCCGATATACACAAGGTCGATCGGGAATGTCGGATGCTCGTGGTAAATATACTTCTTTCTGGAAATCAATGAAATTATCAATATATGCAAAAATGTTCCTTTAAGATTACCTGAAAGTATCGACCCTATTTTAAAACAGTGTTAAGAATATGTTATATGATACCAAATATAGTATGACCAGAAATTATTAAGGATTTTAGGAATATGTTTAATTGGATTTCTAGTGTAAACAACCTTGACCAGCTATCAAGTGCTTGGTTTTATTCAAGAGAGACAACTCCGTTAATCCTTTTTCATTAGTTTGTGAAGAGTTATCCCTCTTTGTTTACTTGCTAGCAGACGACATTTTCAGTGATCCTCAGTATGGATGATTTAAGGAAGAGGAAGTTGATTTTGGAGTATTATAACAAGGACATCAGATCAGCCAAAGTGATTTCAAGTAGAACAGGCATCCCTTTGTCCACTGTTTATCGTGTTTTGAAAAATATTGCAAATGGATATGGTATTGAGCACCAGGGAGGTGCAGGTAGGCCCAGAAAATTGACTGTCGGTGACAGGAGGCGGCTTGGTATTCTTGTTTCTAAAAACAAACGAAGGTGTTTAGGAAACTTAAGGCGGATATGATTGATAGAAGAACTGTGGCTGTCTGTAAGGAAACAATTAGAACTGAGCTGCACGCAATGGGTTGGCAGGTGAATTCCATCACCGATCATGAAACCTGAACAAAAGGAGCAAAGGTTGAACTGGTGCTTACAGCACAGAAATTTTAACTGGGACAATGTGATTTTCTCAGATGAAAGTTCTGTTTGTCTGTTTCCTAATACACTGAAATTCTGGACCAAACAAACTGAAAAACCTTTGTATCAGCGCCCACAGTCCAAAATTTTACGTGTGGGGAGGCATATCTGTGTTAGGGGCAACGCCCCTCTGTGTATTTGAAGGGAATATGAACAGTGAGCGGTACACAGATATTCTCGAGGCACATTTACTTCCATCTGCTCACGTGTTCTATGGACATTTTTTGATTTTCCAGCAGGACAAGCGACCCAAAACATCGTTCAAAGCATTCACAGGCCTGGTTTCGGACCCAAAATATGACATTATTAGATTGTCCAAGCTATAGCCCTGACCTAAATTCAATAGAAATTTTGAGGGGACTTATGAAGGAAAGTGTCAATAAGAAAAATCTGACAAATATTGCTGAAATGAAAGAAGAGGTGGTCCGATATTGGGACAGCATGGACCACGACTTTCTAACTTTCGACTTTGATCAGTAGTATGCCCCGCTGCATTGACGCCTGCAATGCTGTCCATGGTGACTTGACACAATATTTACTGTTCACCTGTCTTTGAATCTGGAGTTATGTTCTGCTAATATTCACATTAATACGTGAGTAATGAGTGAAACAAATATAAAAAATTACAATCTTTAAATTCTCAATAATTTCTGGTTGTACTGTATATGATGCAATATGTGCTTATTTCAAGGTTCTGCTGCGGGCAAGAGAGAAACACCAATATGGCCATGAGTGCCTTCGTGCGTTACTGAAAGGACTCGAGCAAATGGAGCAAAATGATGCCAAAGAGTCCATCATTCAACTTGCTGAAACGTGGTAAGAGAAACTCGTTTGCGAGTCTCGTCATAGTACGTCCTTCTGCTTTGCACAACTTTCAAACTTCTTGACAATGGTCAACAGATGTTTGCTTTTTACGTCAATACAATGAAAGGCATCGATTTGTCGTTAAATGTTTAATGTCGATACTATATCGACACAAGGTTATGACTGTCCATTCTAAGCCAACATTTCACTGACACATAAACATTAAAGATATTAAGATTATCACGATTAAGTTAAACCATATGATAGATGAACATTTCTCTTCACTCATTTCATGAATCATACTTATTCATATTTAACATTAAACGGCAGGTCCACAAATGACTAATTATTTGTCGAACTGTACATGCAAAGTACTTAATGTTATTAGTAATCGATATGTTGATGAACTGTGATAATGATCTGAGTCGATATATCGATACATAGATATCCAATCAGTGACACTCAAATCCTATCCATAAACCATTAATGTTTGTCTATGTACATTTCTAATCAAAATATTATTCGAAGTGTTCATTTCGTATTATGTAACAGTTAATATCTACTTTTCGAATATTCAGTGAAACTTCAACAACTCAAATCAATAAATCTGATATTAGGAGGAGGAGGAGGAGATAATGTTATGGCATATGAGAACTCTTTTGTGGAAAATGCAGATTACTCATACGCTTCAAAGTTCATACTTTTAACAATTATTCTATATCATGAGTCACACAAGACAATCATTGCTGACGTATAATTTCTTTGGAAAAACGACCAGTAACTTAGTCATTTTTGTTTTGATTGAAGGTTGCAATCTGAAGGACAATCTAATGGAACAATTGCGGAACATATGAGAGAGGTTATTCACCACTTCACATAGATCATCTCACCAGGAGAACAGACTAGTGGATGACTCTCAGTGTCACGGATTCATTTAGGGCAGGATAGATGGAAATGAATGCAATGTCACCACGTACCTTTGGAAGCGTGTGTAATGCATGTAACTGATGATTAATTCATATGTATCGTGAATTATTGTTTAATGTCATTCTAGAGAATGGGGTTTTCCACATTCATGGTCGGTTGGTATCATTGAACCTGTTCATAAGGATGGCGATAAAAATCAAACTGAAAATTATATACTAGGCATTACTCTTCTAAGTGTATTTAGTAAAATATTCACTGCCATTAAAAACAAACGTTTAGCATTCTGGGTAGAATCCTTTGAAGAGATAACCGAATCCCAAGCTGGTTTGGGGAAAGGATATACTACTAATGACAGCATATTTGTTTTACATTTAGTTACACAGACATACTTAAATAAGAAAGGTACCAACTTCTATGTTCTCTTTGTAGATTTTGCAAAGGATTTCGACTCCGTTCACAGTGAAAATTTATGGAATCTTCTCGATAATCATTCCTTAAGCAGTAAAATGAATAAACTTTTAAGAAGTAATTATGATAACGCAAAGATGTGTGTGAGAAACAATAATGAAATATCTGAAACTTTTAGGAGCTAAATAGGAATAAGACAAGGTTGTATCATAAGCCCATTTTTATTTTCATTCCTGATCAATGAACTAGCAATACCGATTCATATAAAACTGTTCAAACGGTATTCAGTTACATCCAGATATAGTACCATTATTTGCTGATGATCATTCTTTTCTCCAGCACTCTTCCCGGATTACAAGCAAAAATAAACAAATTAGAGAAATACTGTAATGAATGGAAACTCACCGTAAATATAGATAAAACTAAATTCATTGTGTTCAAGAATGGAGGTAAACTTGCTGCAAACGAGAAATTGTATAACAAAGATGAACTGCTAGAAACAACAATACAACTTAGGAGTTCATTTTACAAATCACCTATCGTGGTCCTTACATGTCAGAAATGCATCGATGCAAGCAAAGAAATTGCTGATCGTTATTATTAGATATACTTATATTTTAGGAGACTTGCAACACATATAAATAATTAGAATCTTGTATGCTAAGATTTGTCCCATACTCCTCCTATATGGTTCTAATAATTGGGGACTCCAAACAGTTGATACACTAGAAAAAATACATTTGTATGCAATTAAAAGATTTCTCGGTGTGAAAGTTACTACTTCAAACATTATGGTTTATGGTGAATGTGGTAGATTTCCATTATTATTTAAAAATGAAAGTAGTCAAAATTGGTTAAAAATCTTAAAAATGCCATCTCACAGATTACTTTGCAATATGATGAATTTGTGGGATAGAAATGGAAAACGTACTTGGGTCACAGATGTTAAAAATTTACTATATATTTTCAACTGGTTTCGGTAATATATGGCCTGAACAGTGCATAGACTCTTTTCCAAATTTTCTCATATCCATTAAACAAAGGTTACAAGATATGTATCTCTAGAATTGGCTCGACTAATTATCTGTATCAAATAAATGTTTTTACTACAGAATGTTTATTCAATCTATATACAATGTTACAATGGAACCGATTTATCATCTTTGAATGGTCGGAAATATAGAATCACGCTTACAAAACTTAGTTGCTCATCACATGATTTGTTAGTAGAAACAGGTAGATATATTGGCATAAGAACTGAAGATAAAATATGTAAAATGTGTGATTTGAATCTAATTGAAGATGAATATCATTTTCTTTGTCTGTCCAGCCTACCACACTTTGAGAAATAAGTATATTAAGAAATATTACTTTGTACATCATACTATTTATAAATTTATATCTCTATTAACCTATTCTAGCAAGGTACATCTAGAAAAGTTGTCAATGTTTCTGTATCGTGCCCTTCTACACAGAAAAAATGTACTCTCTACTGCCTAATAAGAATATTGCCTGTATACATCTACTATAGGCCTGTAGCCTCTTAAGTGCAAATAAAGATGTATATGTAACAATTCGTTGTGACGTGTAAGCATTAAGTAGTCGCATCCACTACCGTAATCTAAATTCTACCTTTAAAACGTTTGTGAAAGCTTTTCTAATCATACATATGCATATTGAAACCAGCCATATTCTGCTACAGATAACTACTTCATGTCACGAGAGTGAAATATACTTTATATTGTTACGACATACTCGTTGAACATAATCAAACGCTTTTCTTTTAACAGACATTAACAAGAAAAGTGGCAGAATGTTATTCCGAAATTGCAAATCTTTCAAATTCTGTTCTCCTATTTCGAAAATTCAATCACAAATGTTCGATTATGTGCGAATGGACACTTGAGAATTGTGTCGAATTATTGATGGAAATGTTAATTGTACATATGACAGGCAATATGCTATGACGCTTCAGAAACAATGACTTGGAAGCCGTGATGCCTCAATGTTATGGCATTTAAACATATTTCCTACACATTTTAACTTGTTTTTGACAATAAATATTATCTCGTCTGGTGTAAAGTGCATTAATTCAAAGACACTGCAACATTATACTAAACAGATAATAAGAAATTCCCATAGTTCATTATTTGTTGAATTCTAACATAAATGCAAAATAATTATGACAGTGTTATGCATCAGTATTTCACATGAAATCAATTGTTGGAAATATTCTATATCACTTTTGGCCACGACTGTTTTAAGTAATATGTTTATTGCATAGAGCGACATTTCGGCGTAGATTCTAAAGTAACTACAACCAAGTGATGAGAAGTATATATACATAGTATGTTATGACAAACAGCAGAATAACATTAACATCATCATGAATATTGGATCTTACTGATCCCCACCTGATCGCATCCAATTTATGTGCCACTTGTTATCATATACACTCTGTTTTGTGTCACTTCAATACAGCCCTATGGAGCATCGGTGATGCCGAGCTGGGTCGAGCTATGCCGACTGTTATGAGCAGGGGAGGAACGACAGTCACTGGACTGTAAAGAGCTTTGTTTTGTGACCGGGTGACAATACTTGCCGATGTAAACGCATTATATACTTTTAGTGCCATGCTCGTCCATATATGAATATTGCTGAGTCATTGCTTCTATTGAAAATAAGACATTGACATAGACCGAATATCTCCTTGTATGTTTTCACTTTCATGTTAGACATATGGACAGTGCTTGAGACAATGAATGGCAATATAAGAAACGGAGGCTTTTAGAAACAGATATATAGTACACGCACATAATTGAGACGGTCTCTCTTTAATGACATGCTACTGGTTCATCCGTGTGCTGGGCATTCAGCTGAACTGCAGTAGGGAAGATGGTAATCTTCGATTCTCGGGATGGAGTTGAGGAGATAAATAGTGAGGCTAAGTATATTGCTGCTGATTAAAGTGCGTTCCACAACTGTTCTCTGAAATAACCCCGGTTCATCGACTCCTTAGGATTGGTCTAATTGAGTCGGTTTTAGGTTGAAGATTTCATGTTTGTCGAAGAATATGTTCTGTTGTTAACAACCAACCAAATGTGTTTTAATCTTGCATTCTGAGGTCACGTACTTAAATGAGATTAATGGAGCGCAAATTGCACCATAAATGAAACGCTTTCGTGTTTCTTTTAGCCACCGACTTCACACGAATTCAACGACTTCAGTTTGTCATGTTAATTATGTATTGAGGTAATAGCCTTTGCAGACCTCTCCCCCAAAATACCTCACGTATTAGGCATATTCAACTTAATGCTTCAGTCCAAAGCTGTCTGACATAAAACAATTAATGCTGTGTTATATGAAGCTCACCTGAAGAACTGAGGTAGCATAGGTTTGGTCTGACTCTTAAATAAGTGCAGTTTTAATTTGGTGGAAATGCGTAGGCACGATTCGGGTAGATACAGTGAAAACTGCAGGGGATGACACTACAATAAATATAATATAACAATTCGTGGATGAAACTTCTTGTTTCAAGCAATGGGCTTAATCTACAACAATGGAAAAAAGGGCAGATTGTGTTTATAATTTTATTCAGAGAGTTGACTAGGAAAATTAGAATATGAAAAACTGTGCTTAAACCAACATTTGAAAGTAAGTGAATGTAATGGATTAGTGATACTGTTAGACGCCGCTTTTATATGTTAAGTATTCTTACAATTCAACTACTACTACTCTCTGGAACCTATTTAGAAGCTTGAGCAAGTTTCGAAGACTTTATTCACATTGAAATTCCACTATATTTGGCAGAATATCGGGGGTTAGTTTTCAAGAAACCCAGAAATAGAAATTTGGCTAATTTATTAATCTTCGTCATACATGGATAATAATGAACAACATTGTTCGTGAAGTCCTCATCCGATATATTTGACATAACAAGGTAACAAATTCGATGTTTCTTCAATTAAAAGAAGCGATCAACATTACTGCGATGCATCCATAATGAATTCTGATTTCTTTTCACAAATATGAGATCGTGACTGAGTACTAAGCGCTTCTGCAGAAAAGGCTAAAATAGTTTATTTTGCATACGGTTGAATAGGGTTCTTGGTGGTCTAATAGAGTAGCTGAATGATCCATCCATGGGAACTCCGGACAGAACAGATTTTGAGTGCCCCATGGTTGACGTACAAGTTAATCTGGCGTTGTTCAGATTATCTTAGTTGCATGTAATCATAATATGGCTAGAATACGGTTGAGTGCAGCTTTAAATAACTGTTTATTATTCACTCATCAGTAGTTCCTGTGATTATTCATGATAACTATCATTTGTATCAGGCAGTTGTAAGTTTACGGTAACTTAAGAGAGCTAAGGCAGGTTTAGATTAAGATCGCCTTAGAACCGTACCGAGGTTTACAATCCAGGGACAATCACGATGAACACAAATGATAAGGTAAAAACTCACTTGGATACTCGTGCTGTAAAACCTTCTGAAGAATTTACAAAGGATGAGGAAATACTAAATTCAGGAATTTGCACGAACATTGTTGACGAATCCTAGTTCAGTTGATATATCTGAGAGTGAGACCGTTTGAAAAATCAATAAACTGCCATCGTACTAATTGAGCATTGATCTGTATTCACAGTGAGTGACAAGTCTCCATATAAAGCAATGACACTGAATGAAGACAACTAGTTTTGGATTAGAATATACGCAAACAGCCGCGACGGCACTTTCTACTAGCTGATCTGTTTCATTGCGACATTTGTCGGATAGACATACTGCTTTTCAAAGTTATAAGCTGACCAACCAAAAAAAGGACGACTTTACGCAATTATTATTTATGATGAGATATACAGTAAGTATTGTCTTGATGATGCTTTCCACTGACCATGTGGTGTCCGGGGACTTTAAGGGTTTTGAGGTTGTGGGGTCGTGTCTGGATCCCTACAGTTTCAATGGTGGACCATTGAGGACAGCTGTGGGTCACACGGCAACATCCTGTGCCATCCTATGCAGTGGGGAGACGCGATGTCATTCCTTCACCTTCAGGAAATCCTCTTCGACCTGTTTCCTCCATCATGCTTACATCCCTTACTGGCCCTGTGACAAACCCGGCGACATCCACTACAATGACGTAAGTACTCAAAGGACAACTGATTGACTTCATGCCCTGTCCTTTTATATAGCTGAAAACTGGCGTTTACGAACACAGTTAGATATGGACTTAAATGTTTTATGTTTCTTGAACAAGTCATCACTTTTCAAAGATGTGCTGTATGGTGAGATATATGTTGATTACAGTCACGGAAGCTTTGAAGCGCCCATATCCTTCACCTCAGGTTACTTCACAATTTACAGGTACCATGTCTAACTGACTGACTGAGTTTTGTTTTACGCCGCTTTTAGCAATATTCCAGCAACATCACGGCGGGGACACCAGAAATGGGCTTCACACATTGTACCCATGTGGGATTCGAACCCGGGTCTATGGCGTGACGAGCGAACGCTTTAACCACTAGGCTACCCCACCATGTCTAAAAGGGGCTCGTCACGCCGAAGACAAGGGTTCGATTCTCCATGTGGGTACACATAGTGAAGCCTATATTTCTGTTGCTGGAATATTACTAAAAGCCGCGTAAACCTAAATTCAGTCACTCAATCACCATAATTTAACGACATAGAATAGAGTTAGGAGTGAATGGATTCGTGGGCTTAACGCCGCTTTGTACAGTATCCTCTCTCACTCTAAATTTGCTGTGGAAGGAAACACTCGATGTGATGCAGGAATTTATAACCATGGTATGGTCAAAGGGTATCATATTTGCTATCTCTCATAAATGTTTTTAAAAACAACTTCGAAGTTGATTTCCTTTGCATTCTCACAACTAGACGGTTCGTCATTTCAACTCATGACAGTCTGTTTAGCTGTTAGGGTACAAATCTGTCCGGGACAACTACCGATCCATTTTGAGTAAGTGAATGTGAGTGAGTGAGTATGGTTTTACGCCGCTTTTAGCAATATTCCTGCAATATCACGGCGGGGACATATAATTAGATGATCGAATTCAAACGTTCAAAATGAATATACATATAAAACAAGAAAAAAACCGCTTTAGACATAAACATGTAGATTGTGACAGTTTGAACTTGTGAATTGAACATTTGAACATTTGTAATGAACTGGATGTGTTTAGCTCTTACTTTCCAATTCACGTAGGTCAAACAGTCTTAATGAAGACTCAACGATCAAAACTCCATTATGCTAGGAACGCTTCATCATCCCGACTGTTTGCTTTCAGATATGATTATAAAGTCGATACTTTCCCTGCATCGTGGCAACCTATTAGTGATACTCGGTTTGTTTGTTCGGATGACGAGATTGTAGATAAGCAGTCCTTGAAAACAGATTGGTAATGATTTGTCTCAAACTGTGTATCCTATGTGCATATGTTACACCTAAAGCAGTCCCAGCGTAACCCCGTTAATATTGATTGTATGGCTCTGGTAAAACCAGATCTAACATCGTCAATCCGTTATTATCGAACATATTCGATAATCGCAAGGTGTGTACGGGTTTCATATTACATCATTGGCTGTTCTTGACTATGTAGACTTTTTCAAGACACGGTCGAAACTTCCGTAGACATAAACTGGACATACGTCTAGGAATGTGATATTTGTTGAAAACATTGGAACATGTACAGGCTAATTATAACCGATCAGAGAGTGTATAAATATCGTAAATAGCTTTGGTCAAGTACTTTCTCAAATGCCAATTTTCTCTTTAAGTTTAGAAAACCAGCCTATTCCTATCATTTTCGCCACATTTAAATGCATCAGTACCAGGTAAAATAGTAAGCTTAAAAATTTTAAAAAATCGAAACTTGCTTTTATTGCACAAAAATACCTTCATTCTTTATTTTGAGAGGTTGAAAAGTTATGAAATGGCTTATCTGAAGGTACGTTGCCGACAGTGGCGTAAAACAACGACAAAAACAAACAGAAACTACTTGGCATCCGACCAGTCTTGTGTAAACCTTGACGATTTTGATGAAATCTCGTTTGTAAATAGCCCCTTAATGTCGAATGGTTAGATTACGTTTCTTATATTATCAGACAATTGTCAAGTGGGTCAAAGTACACACAAGCAGGCTAAATTGTTTTTTTATGGTAGGTATTTTGGGCTAACATAAAAACTTACTATATTGAGTAGATTAAAGATTACATGATAACGTTAATGAAAATATTGATGGACTATATGCACTCATGTTATATATTTAGACTAAAAGCCTGGGAAAATCGCTAATAAATAAATTGCAAACAAGGTACGATTACCAATGCATACACTAATAAAAATAGGCATAATAACACAAGTCATGTCATACATAGATAATGACATGTTAAACACAAGTCTTGAACACGATAATTCTGATGTTTCGCACCACGTTCACATAGATCAGGGTTATTCACAATGAAACCAATTTCCGCACTGGTTTAAGTATCTCCATTTATCAGATCTTCGAGGACATCGCTAACCGTCTGTGGAACTCTAGTATTGCTCTTGAACTCAACCATACCTACTCAAAAAACACCCTCATACTTACTCAAAAATATCTGCGTCTTTATTTTACTGTTTGCACCATTAGTGCTGTATACACGAATAGGTGGCGTGGTATTTATCGACCAGTGTAGATCAGTATTTAACAATAGAAGACAGAGCATGAAAGTAAAGGTGTTGTTTTGATGGTTCCATTTACCTCAATCACCGAGGAACCTGACTGACTTCTCTCATATTAGATTTATGTGAAAGGAAGAGATCTAATAAAGAAGATATTTCATGGCAGTTACAATATGGTTGCCTCCCATAAGGGAACGGGTTCAATATCCTAGTGATTTGTGTATATGTTAAGTAGGAGATTGAAGAAACTGAGGTCCTGTGTACTGGCTTCGAAGGCTAAGGTTCACATTGCAGATGTTCTTATGTCTCTATTTCAATGATGTACACAAAATACCGTAAAAGTGTTCGTTATTGGGGCACATTTAATTCCCTTTAAACAAATCTACTGTTTGTATGCTGAACTGTATGTCTGTGAAACAAACACGATGTAATCAGATTGTCCTGATTGCATTAAATTGCTTCTAATTGAAATTGAAATTAGTCAATGCATAATCCAACAACATGAGATGAAACGAGGTTGCCTGTTTCACTAAGATTATTTCAAAACCAGATTCACTATTCTTACTTCTCGTAAAGCTAATAAAAATGGCTTTCACATTCTGCTACTGTCAGATTGTATTCGTGTCAGTAACCATATAAGTTTGTTCATGTAACACATGTTATGGCATTTTGTGTCCAAGTGTGTTCATGTTGCCATTGCCACATATGTAGGGAAGTGCTGTTTTGATTCAAATGGTACAAGTTGGTTATACCAACTGAAACCAATACAACCTTATCAGATTATTCCGATTGCATTAAGTTGCTTCTAATTAGAAAGCACATTGTTTAAATACGTCAATACAGATTAATGCATAATCAATATCACAGGAAACATGAGATGAAACGAGGTTGCATGTGTTTCACTAAGATTATTTCAAAAACAGATTTGCAATGTTTCGGTAGTATGACTGAAATAATCACTATTCTTACTTCTTGTAAAGCTCAATAAAAATGGCTTTCACATTCTGCTACTGTCAGATTGTATTCGTGTCAGTAACCATATAAGTTTGTTCACGGAACGCATGTTATGGTATTGTGTGTTCAAGTGTGTTCATGTTGCCATTGCCACATGTGTTAGGAAGTGTCAACGGAACGTATTTTGACTTCAGGTTTACAACCCCTGTCTTCACGGTGGAGATTACAATCCTGGTACAAGCACCTGCAAATGTTTCGGTGGTTACAAGGGCGATATCTGTGGGCAAGTGATTGAAGGTATGACTTCTGCGTTATAGTATTCAACGAAAATAAATTGAATTCCGATCTCACTTCGAAAATAATGTATTAAGAGTTAGTTCAAGTCATGTTTTCATGATTCAGATCACTACTGATATTTACAGATATGTATCTGTTTATTTAAGCACTGTAAAAGTGTTTCGTGCACTTTAAGATGTGTGATTGTATTACACCATTTACAGTTAAATGATATGCAAGCAAAACATACATACTGATACACATACAATGAACATTCATTGCAGACTGTTCCGATGGAATGGCTTATTACTACGGTCAGAAAGGTGAATTCATTATCCAACCTAATCTATCTCCCCAACCATTTATTGTCTACTGTGAAATGGACTTTGGTGGACGAACCGCAATCCTGAAACAGAAAACTGGTAATGAAAACTTCAACAGACCATGGGATGACTACAAGAAAGGATTTGGAAACGTTTCAGGAGATCACTGGCTGGGCAATGACTACATCCACTACATCAGCTACAGCAGAAAACACTCACTCTTGGTACAGGTTGAGACAGGAAGCAGCTATCATCAGTATTTCATGCAGGACTTTGGAGTGGATGATGAATCAAGTAATTATAACCTGACGTTTGGGTCTCACTTCACCAGTGACAAGTATCATGAATCCCTCGGAGACTGCCTAGGACCGTTGTACGGTTCATCATTCAGCACCCTGGATCGTGACAATGACAACAGTGCTCGGAACTGCGCTCAGGACTTTCAGTCAGGCTGGTGGTTCAAAGACTGCTCCACCTGCAATCCCACAGGCGTGTATGAGGCATCACCCGTTGGTGGACAAGCTGGAGCAGCTGACAGTAACCTCCACTGGACCCCTGGGGAGGGACTGGGAAACCGGTCCCCGAGGGAAATGGCGTTGTATCTGGTCTACAACGACCCAAGTACTTGGGGATAAGCTGCAAGTTGTGACAAACGTTTTAGTTTAACGATGACAGGTCAAAATTACAAGAACCTCGGGTTTTAACGTATCAGTCTACAATGGATGTATTGTGCATTAAATCCAACAAACCAAACCAAATGTAGGTAGAACAATTAACTATATGTAACTGGTCTACAACGACCCACTTACGTGGGTGATAAGACTGACCTTGGCCATGCAAACGGCGAGCCAGTGAGCATTTAAGGCAGCAACGATTGGATAAATACCTTACATACTAATCAGATGACGGTTACCTCTCTGTTTTCCACAGCTTTCCTTAAAATGGCAGTGATCGTGCGCTTTGTACACTAACGATAGCAAGAGGAGAATCTTACATCTGCGTCTACTCCTGCCTGTTCTGCTATCGACTCGTCCTTGTAGTGACTATCGTTTGTCCTTATGTTACGTGTGAGATAGAAACCCTCCACCGCCTGACTATCCAAGAATATTTCATGCTTCTTCAGACAATAAGGTATTTGCACATACACTATGAGCTCACGTACACTTTAAACATTTGCTTTATCATGTTGTAATATACAGTGTTTGTTTAGAAGTGGTATTTATCATTCCTCTTTCTTCCTCTCTTGCCTTGACTTGGTATGTTTGTAGTTTAACGCCACACAGCAATATTCCACCTATATGGCTGTTCTATCTTGCCTTGCATTTGTATAGTTCAATAGTTCAATAAAAATACGCTTGCAACCTATCACGTCATGACTGCCTATTATTATGAGAAAGGTTTCAATAGTTTGCAAATGTGAGTCAGTTGGCTATAACTATGTACGGCGACCTTAGCGAATCGAGTCTTGATGAGACTAGTGTTTGAGTGAGTCGGTTTGATGTTGAAGGAACATCCTAAGCAATGCAGATCAACGTTTCTGAGAATAGTGACACCGACGAGCTGACAAACCAAGAAACACGGCGAACCATGATTCGAACATAAGAAGGAAGTCAACCTGGCACACCGAAGAGTCGCAACTCTGCATAGCGAACTGCGACGCCATTACCGGTTGGCCAACCCGTGCTCATATTTGTGTGAATTGCCTGTAAATGATTATGGAGAGGAGTGGTGAGCATAAACAACGTTCTTCACATAAATATAATTAATGATATTTTACCACCAATAGACCATTCTTAATGAGGCCTCATGAATATTCATATCTGTACCAAAACGAGGCTAAATTGGACAAGGAAACAATCGCATAATGGCGACAAATCTCAATGTATACTTCCTGGTTTCAAATTTCCCTTGAACGGTACATTACGAAACTGTCCAGTAGTTCAGGGAAATCGCAGAGAAATGGGAAAGGGCTACAAAAATGTTTCTGTAGCATATCCACGGAATAATTACTGTACTTCACGACACATCACGATAAGTCATATGACCAAGATATCTAGGTTAACGTTTACCATGTTGCGCAGCATTTATGAAGGGAAGCTACTCTAAAGTCACAATAGTGGAAATATTACCAAGGGAAGTCAATTGCGTTTACTTTATCAACATATGAACAAAGCAAAAGACTCAACGTATTTCCTGACCTGGATTCAAATCATCCACTTCCACATGGGAGTAGTGTTGTTAATTATTGAGCTGGATAATCGAGATTATAAGTAATATGTAGATCAAGATAGCTCTCCTCGAGTGGATCTGGACCAAACAAAATTGTATTACTCATGTGATGAAATTATTTGTTTGGTATTTTTTCTGGGTACACTTACAGAATACCGGATACCTAATTATATACATTCTATTGTGCGCGTGAGGCTCCTATATATAGAAGAAACAGAGAGCGCGAGCCTGCGATCCAATAAAAATACGAATTTAAGGTAAAAAATAAGGTTAAAATCTAATTCCTCAACTTACTTCCGGTTTAGGAAACCTAAACTGGGGATTTTAACAGCGTTCACTGACGTAAACAGAGTAAAAAGTAACCGTGTGTTGAAATTTTATTCAAATGCATGCTTGGAAAAGGAACTCTACAGTGTGGGAACACTCTGATGGTAAGTGTTTTTTGATTGGTTGATTTCTAATGACGTAATACAATAACACGTTCCTAATATGGAAAGTTCACTACAGACGATCTTTATGTCAGACACAAAATGAAAATTTGGGATGTCTATGAAATAGCAAGAAATCACGAGGAACGTTTTTTAAGAAGAAAGGGACTTTTTGGTAACTGGGAAGGCAAAATTTGTAGTAAGTGTGGTGTTGGAAAATATTATTTGTGCATGGACAAATCTTACGGGAAAGATGGCAGATGCTGGAAATGTTCAAGGAAAACTTGTGGTAGGAAATTTTCTATAAGGCACAATTCTTTCTTTGAAAACAGTAAATTAGAATTGGGAACACTACTTTTGTTGACATACTCTTGGGTGTATAAATTGCCACAAGATTTTGTGCGTAGAAAATTAGACATTGTGTTTGGGAGTACATCTGTGGACTGGTACAACTTTTGCAGGGAAGTATGTGTTTGCATTGTTGATGAGTACAGTGAACAGATAGGTGGTGTGGGACACGTAGTAGAAATAGATGAGTCAAAATTTGGAAAGAGGAAATTTAATAGGGGAAAGAGGGTAGAGGAACAGTGGGTCTTTGGAGGCATTGACAGGGACACAAAACAGTGTTTTTTTGCTTGTGTGGAACACAGAAATCCAGAAACTTTGATTCCACTGATATTAAAATTCATCAAACCCAGAACCACTATTATTAGTGATTGCTGGAAAGCATATGACTGTTTCAAAGAGGAAGATTTTAATCACCTAAAAGTAAATCATTCCATAAATTTCAAGGACCCCGAGACCGGGGCACATACAAACACCATCGAGTCAACTTGGGGTGCATTAAAACGCTCCCTACCCAGGTCAGGCACCACAAAAAGCCTATAGAAAGAAAATTGCACCAGAAGGAAATATTTGTGTGTTGAAGAAAAGTTTGAAAATTTTATCGATCTTGTTGTGAGAATCTACAACCCTCATTCAAAGGACAGTGAACTTGTTAGGATGCCATTAAAACCGGCCAATCGTGACAACCAGGATAATCAAAACGATAGTTTGGATGATTTCCAGCTGTAAGGTAGGTACAGGCTTTTAAATAAAGGGGGGTACCCCCTTTACCCCCATTATCTTACCTTTTTTTAGCTTTAATATTGTTTAATATTTAATATTTTATATTGAACGCTGCTTCAACACAGCCTTCATTCATGGCGTGACGTTGCTAAGGAAACAAAACGGAAGTGCGCAAAAATAAATGCGCAATCTAAATAAAATGGCGGATAGGTATCCGGTATTCTGTAATCTTGCCTTTTTCTGTTTAAAATGTTTTGTCCTATCGACTCTGTTTTATAGATATAGGGTATTTGTTCACGCACTTATTTTCAGTTGTACCTACTGGTGATGGCGATGTGCGCGTAACTACATGTTACAATAGCAGAGGAACAACGAATCGCCACATCATCATTTAGAAACTATTTATTTCAATCAACATGAGTGGGACACAAAGTGCAAGACAAAACTGGATGATTTTATTCAAGTTCTTTTTTGACTGATTTGGAGGTGAATAATTATTTTACACTGATGAATAACAATACAATTTTCAGAGGATGCAAATTGAAAATATATTGGGTGCAATATTTATGTGGATAGAAATATCTTTTTAGATTAGTCTGACATGAATGGCAACAATTACAGCTGGATCAATTAATAATTTATCATAGTTTTCTCCCCTAACACAGTATCATAATCTCTTACCTAGGAATGATTTTTCTTCTGATTCCCAACTAACTCTTTTCAAACAGGATGAAATACATTCTTTTTCATCAATTATTGATTAAACAGTAGCAAATGAGTTACATCTACAACTATGCCATTATGAAAGACCTTTCTATTATGCAGCTCAATCCATCAATGTGTATGTATTACAGCTGTCTCTTTTTGCATCCATCATTTACACAACACAAATGCACGAAACAATTTCATTTACATTCATGTCTGTCAATGTTGTGCTGTTTGGGCAAGGTACATCACAAAACCTGGGAAGATATTCAACAAATGAAAAAGTTCCAGCAAATCAGTGCCAATGTTTGAAATGATGGAATACTGTAAAATGTTCAATCAATTTTTATCATCATACATGAATTTACAAACTCCAAACTTTTCCAAAGTTCAAGTTTTCTGTTCAATTTTTCTATTTTGTCAACCTTTTCCTTGAGTTGCCTCTCCTGTTCATGTAATTTCTGGTGGAGTTGTTCTATGTAGGACTGGGGGTCAGTGGCTGCTGTATCCCTCTCTGCTTCACTGTAATATAAGCATTGTAAAGCATCACTATTATCTCTTCGACCACACAAACAATAAATATATCTTTGGAATTACAAATATTCATCAAGGTAAAGAGGCTAACATCATTTCATATTTTAGACAGTATGGGCAATCAATATTTTTATATGTAAATAACATAGCATATAGGTCAAAGTTTAGTTGTATTAAATTCTTTAAAACCATGTCACTTGGCAAAATTAACTTAATACGATCTGACATTCTTACTGTATCTGAGATGGTGACTGTGGTAGCTTCCTTATGGGAGGTTCCTTAGCTGGTGACATGCTCTCTGACTCTAAATTAGCAGCACCTAAGATATATTTCAGTTGTTGTAATTAGATTGTCCAGTAATATGTCCAGTATCCCTGAAGTACTGGTCAGTATGCAGTAATTTTGAAAGTACATATTTAAGATTATTTTAACAGCATGTGTGTGTGTCCTGCATACACATGTACTTGAAATGTTACTTTGATTTGCAGCCAATCTAATTTCACTGATCTGGAATATATGCAAATAAAATTCCCTTGCAATCATGACAAGTGTCTCCATATGTCCATATGCTTAAAAAATTCATATAATGGACCGTTCATGATTTATGACTAGGGGGGTGATGGTGATTTTAGGTGCGGTGTTTGTGGGGGTTGGGGTGTCTCCCAGATTGTTTTTGGAGGCAGGGGGAGGGGCCAATTGTGTACATAAGAACTAGGGGGGTGATCACTGATTTTGAACATGACAATGTGTGTGTGTGTGGGGGTGGGGGTGGGGTTTGAATGTGTCTGTGTGTGTGTGACATTCACATTGTACATGTGCCCCTAATATTAAAACCTTGCATAGTGAACAGTTTGTACATTACACGGCAGATCTGGACTATGCCATGTGCCGTAATTATTTTGTACTTACTATGAATCATTTTCCAGGATCGCTCCGTATTTTCGTCAACCACTGCCTTCTTCTAATCTTATTCTTGGGAATATGGTGAAAAGATACCGTAAAATCCTTACGGGCATCACTCCAACGCAAAGGCACACAGCAGTAATCTTTCCTTTTCGAGGTCGCCATTTTCAAGGTTGGGTCAACCTATTTAAGCCTCGCTTTCGATTTGACCTCGAGGTCATGCATATTGGCTAAGAATGGTCTATAATCAGAAACGCTGCAGTGACACACGCGAAATATAAGCCTACGTGGTCATGTGACCACCCAAGAGTGGGCACTGAAGTCTTGCGCCATGACACCGTGAAATGGAACCAGTTGAATTCGAAAGTGTCATGATCTTACAGGATGCTTAATAGACCGATCCAGTCTGTCAATCAAAACTGGCGCATGCGTCAAATTTGGCCAATCAGCAGGCCGGGCGCGCTGTGTGGATTTGTCGGACTTATTTCC